GTACATGGGTTAGCTTAGACCTTGGAGAGCTTGGACCGCATCAGGAGGATGGGGTAAGCACGGTAAGAAAGCAACAACTGCCCTAGCTCCGCGCGTTCATGGATCAAGGTGTTAAAGTGCTTGCATTAGCGCATTATCTTGAGGCTTGGGAAGGGCTTGGGGCTGTCCGCGGTGGCAGAAGGATTGAAGGAGACGGGCGTCTGTTTTGGCTCCTTTCGTCCAGTCAAACAAGTGAGACTGCACTGGGTCGGACCCGTCCTTGTCTCAGCATCATCGGCATCGTCGTCGTCGCCGCCGCGGCCGTTTTCTCCATCCTGTTGGACTGCCAAGCAGTTGGCTACACTTAGCTTTCATCGTCGTGCCCCTCGGGGTTGTCAGCCAATCGTGATGCGGCACCTTCCGAGCATGAAGTGCCATGGGGCGTGCGTGGGTGTGAAGGCACTTTGAGTGGTGGTTGGGTGGGATAGCCGACAAGCGGCATGAACAACAGTTGTTGTCGTGCATACAAGCTGGGACTGGATAACCCCAACCACCAACCACCATCGTCAACACCACATACCAACCGTCGTCCATCCCAAGATGCATCTCGCATGCCACCCCACTGGCCCGGGCGTACCGTGAAGCGTGAACGAGAGGGAGAGACCGACGAAAGAGAGAAGGCCGCTACCTATGCCGCGCCCTGAGCCCCTCCGCGCCCGGTGATCCATCAACACACCCCATCGCATCTCATCGGTGCTACTACCTACCTTTCCGGCAGAGATTGGCTGGAGCTCCTGTCTCCTAGACCTACTGCTGGGTACTCGGCCGCTAACTCCCCCATCTTCTGTCACAGGAAGAGGGGAAATGCTCCCTCACATGGCGGTGAAGGAGGCAGTGGACAGTCTAGCCCTTTGGGCCCCCGTCTATGGCGTCTCATGAGTTACTGACTATGGATACCATCATGCTACTGGTGCTTTTTGTCGTCGTCGTTGGCTTGTGGCCTCACGGCGTTTGCGTCCGTGTCTTACTGCTCCATCTACGCTACCTATCCCCGCCTGGAACCTAAGTCAAGAGCTGCTACCGGGAGGTAGGTACGTGTAGGTAGAGCTAGCAACCTTGATGGACAACTTGCAAGGGGCCTCTTTCACCCCGGAAGATGATGTGGGTTGGGTGATCTATCGTATCATGACCCCCTTGGGCGTTCTTATCTCGGCTCCCGGCTTGCGAGTTGTCTCCAGTTCAGTCTCGACCGTTTCCGGTCGTGTGCAGTTCAAGTGGACGGCGGGGAGGGGACGGAAGGGCCGGGCTGCCGATTAGGAGGGTGTGTGCCGGGCTGTCCGTTTTTCTTGCTCCTTCACAGCCTCGTCCGCCACCGTTTACTTCTGGTTGACGAAGGAGTGTGTAGCTACGGCATAAGGAAGCACATGCACTTGGCTGGCGCTACGTACACCAGCTCTGTATGGACTGTGCCTCTTTGTGAGCAGCACAAATTATGCATAAGCAATGTCAATTATCAGTACTCCCACCGAGGCGTGGCAACGAAGCGTACAATACAAACCTAATTTTTTTGTTAGCTCGGTACACCTATCATACTGGACACGATCTATCCCAAATTGTCCTAAACCCTATAAGGACAGTATTGAATAGCCAAGCACAATTTGAAAAGGCATTGAGAAGAGTCTAAAGGGTATATGCAATATAAAATTACGCCTTTGATAAGGTACGAAACGGATCGATTAGGCATATTAACGCCTAGGAAGAATGACCGGAGGTCTCGAGCTAACAAACAAACGAATATTGGACTGTACACCACGTCCAATCTTTGGTGACTTCAGCTGCTTTGTGGTGGCTAGTTGATAATGAGGCGCATGAGACTGATTGCAATATATAATGATTCTGATATGTTTGACTTGATCCTTCTCTCTACCGTACACTGAGTATTGACAACACAACACTCATTCTTACCCCCATGGAGCAACCATCTGACGATGTTTCGGTGGTCAGATATTGTGTGTTTGCTTGTCTATATTCTTTACGTCCACCAATGACACGATCCCCTCACGCCATCTATAGCGGCACGCTCAGCTTCCCGTATATCTGGGGTGGGTTCCCTAGAAGTCCTAGACATGGTGAAAACGATATAGCCATGTAAGGCCGTGCGTGGTACACCCGTCCATGAAACAAGCATGGCCTTGCAGCTTACCGTTTGTCTCGGAGGCTCGGAGAGGGGAGGAAGGCAGGAAGGAGAAGGTCCAACTTCAGCCGCGCCGTGTCTTAGCAGGCGGGATCTGCAGCCGGCTTACTCTTGCGTGTCACTATCGGTCTCGGTTGGTTGGTTACCAAGTTCTCGAAAGGAGGTGTTAAGATAAAGCAGGGCAAAGGCAAGGCATAAACAAGAAACTTTCCGAGCTTGGTCCATCCCGGGATGACGGTAGAGTGAGGCTGAAGTCACTGAGCCCGTGAGACGGGAAAGTGAACAACGGTAAAGAGCGGGGTGGACCAAAAGCGGCTCGGTCATGGTGTTTTGGCCTCCTCCTTCCATGACTTTGTTTTAGACCACACGAGATGGAATGGGTGGTGTGTCTCGAGGCTTCGGAGGTAGTACGCGTTTGGAGTATAGTTCGTAGACAGTCGATGTACTCACTTGATAATCTAAAGTAGTCTCGAATGCGAGACATGTAGTCCCTTAACTCTTCTTGTGAGGTCTTGGTTTCGCTGATCAATGTCTGTCTTAGACTAGGCTAACACGCGTGACGCATCGAACGAGGCTCTTTTTCCTCAAAATGGTAGAGTCCGTCCGAGCTGTTGGCGGTGGCTTCCGAACAAGCGAAGAGACAAAGGAAGATGAGGGAGACAGGTAAAGCCGCTCTTGTTCGACTTTGGCCTTATTGATTAGCCACTTGAGCAGTTGAACTTCGGCAGTTACCACTTCAGGGTAACGACAAAGAGAAGCAAGGCGATATGGCCGAGATGGCGCACCGAAAGGCACGGGAACGAAACGGAAGCACGATGATTCCCAGAAGTCCGGTCCTTACCAGCCCGGCAACTAAAGCTCAAGTCAACCGCTCCCTCCCGGTGCAAGCGGCTTCAAGCGCCATATCTTATGTCACAGGTCATATGTGTGCAGTCGGCACGACGGGAAAGCTTCAAGAGGTCGGTTAACTGAGACAATTATAGACGATCACTGCCGAAGCCAAACCTCGTCTTTGTTCGAATACGGCAAGAAGTGCGCCCTCGGCGAATGTGTGAGTCCAGCAGTTGATGATCACGACAGATTGAAATTGATATCGTTCAAGGTATGGGTACCTAGCCAACGTTAGTCGAGGAATCACCCATTGTCCATCGCTTGAGACCATGTGTCCATACGCTGTCGTTCTTGCGAATTTCCGTATCCGCAACCGTAGATTGAAACATGAGTCTTGTAGTTGTTCTAGAAACGGCAGTCAGTCAGACGCTTTAACATATGAAGTAAGGTGTTCGAGCGAGGTAATTCAAGACCATCAATTTCTGCCGCATGTCTCATGCACAGAAGAAAGCACACTGCGCGGTTCCGTCTTCAGTGTTTCATAGGTAGGTACTCAGGGTAGTCAACCCAATATCAGTTGTCCCTCGAGCCTTACTCACCGAGCCGCGAGACACTGTTGAGGGTCTGTGTCTGGGAAGGGAGCTTGAAGTCATCTATCGGATGGCTGATTCACGTCTTATGCTACGCGTTCCCATTATTTGCATAATGAGTGCTTCGGGGTCCAAGTCCACCCGAACGGCAGACACTCGACTCATCAAAGGCGGTAGCCGTAACCATATGCAGACGGTAAACCTGGGAGAATATTAGGGATTCCTATTGTCTCCGGTTGGAATAATCAGGCATGTGTGTCCATCGACCGTGTTGTCATGTGACAATAGATAGCAGATAGTTGTGGGAGGATGTTAAGGGGGCAACTGCCCAAGGTTTTCCTCAATGGCTCGGGAACAAATACGGACCATCGAGTCTCCTTGCGAGTATTGTCGTAGCTTTGAGGGCACTTCGTACATGTGAGTCCATATGTTCTTAGCATCCGAGAGAGGCCACTTTGGATACCAAGATGATGACGTACGTTAGAGTTTCCTCCAGGGTTACGAGTCACCCCTGGGTAAGGTTGGCTGGTCGGTTGCGGCTCTGTTATATCGGGCGGCAGCGCTTACCCAACGACAGCGCTGCTTCGCCCTTCTGCACCTCGGCTATAGCATACGGTTGTCCCGGGAGCGTCGGGAGCGTGCACATCCGCAATCCCATGGCTTCGTGCATGAAGGCAAGGTTGATCATCATGTATGACATCAGATATGTCTTGGACCTTGTCGATGTCAGATTATCAGTCGTTGACAATGAGTGTTCTTGCAGCAGTCTTGTAGCTGACAGTGGAGTAGCTCGTTGGGACAACGAACCTTTGATTTAAATCTCGACGGATAAAGCTGGACCTTATATGCCCCTGCAAAGTCCAATCTTCATGGCGGAAGGGTTGGATGTGCGGTACACAGAGAACCAGCTGGAAACTATCTCCAGGCTATGGCAAATTACCGGCGAGAACATTTATACCTCGGGGCAGGAACAATCTTGAGACTCTTGGGATCAAGGCACGAACTCTCACGGCACAGGGATTTTGGGTTCAGAAGGTAAGAGATCAATCAAGCCTTTGGTGGTACTCTTAAAAGAAAAAAAGAAAATACAAGAGAACTTTTCGTCTTAGAGAAGGGAAAAGATGGGACAAATTGTAGTAAAGGCCGGTGTTGACACGTCGAGAAAGGAGTGGCCAAGGTCTCCTTCTCCCTCCTCGTCCAAACCGTCGGCGGTAAACACCGACAGGATTCATCATCCTTCCATGAGCTGCTGTTGTGCGCTGCTCCCATTATTGGCGCTTCATCACTACCCACTGCGCCCAAACCACCGGCAACCTCTTTTCCCTCTCCCCTGGACACCACCGCTGTACCCCCGTTTTGCAATATCCTCTTACCAAACTCCACCCCTCTCAGAGGTCACCCTGCTCTCAAGTGGAAGGGGTCAAAACCACAGTTTCTTGTCCCAAAGTAGGCCATCCCCTTACAGTCACACCATACACCTCCTGGAGGATGGTCACGAGGTTGAGCATGATCAAGAGTAACGGCGCAGGAATAGTTCCAGACTCGTAGTCTCCATAATGCGTCTCGAGGACCTGCAACGTATCCAGCAAAGTCGTAGGATCATCAAGCGCGTCCTCTTGTCTGCGGCCTGGCCTGATGGGCCCGCCAGGGACATACGGATCGGGCGTGATGGGTCCTCCGGGAATAGTTGGGTCGGGAACAAGCGGCCCGCCGGGGATTGGGTTACCAGGTGCGAGGTTGGTCCAGCCAGGAACACCCTGACCACAAAGCTGGATGGCCGTAACGAGGATCTGCTCAATGAGGAAGATGTTGGTTGGCGCCTTGGTGGGGTCCCCATAGACGGTCAACAGAGCGGCAAGCGCAGCCTTGAGACCAAGAACATCCAGGAGCTGGCAGCTGCCTGTGCCGATGGTGATCTGGCGCTTGGAGGTGGCGGAGACAGAGGAGACGGCGCCATCAACAGGAGCACCGTACAGTTCGAGCAGATCAGCGATCTGTCGGAGGGCAAGCCAGGTGACGAAAGAGGGCTGGCGGCCTTGGGTCGACTCAAGGAGCAGGTGGTACGACTCCTCTAAACCAGTAAGGTCAAAGTCAGCGACAAGCTTAGGAGTGGCAACCGCGACATCGGTGTCGACACCTCGCTTCTTGTCGGAGGGCTTGAGGATCGTCCATGTGCCATCAGGAGACTTGACGATGGCGATCCCACATCCGGCAAGAAAGTTAGTCAACTTCTGGATGATGATGTACTCCTGTACCGTTGGCTTGGGCTTGTGCAAGAGGGTCTCGAGAGCAATCTCGGCACCTTCCAGGCCGGGGCAGACTGAAGCGTAAGCGCCAACAGAAGACGCATCACGCTTTCCCGGAACGAAACCAGTCTCAGTTCCTGGGGGCGCAGAGATTTGATCAATGCCGGCCAGAAACTTCAGTGCGGATTTGATGGCTCGGATATCAGCCAGGTCTTCATCAGTCTTGTTCCTCTTGTTCTGGAGGGCAATCAACTGCTTCTCGAGTTGCAGGATAACCTTCTTGGTGTCGCTCGCGTAATCGCCAGGCAGGGAGAAGGACCGCTTTCCGGGAACGAAGCCAGTCTCAGATCCAGGCGGTGCGGAAATCTTATCAATATTCGCCAAGTACTTGAGGGCAGCCTTGATGGCACGGATATCGGCGATGTCCTCGGAAGTCTTGTTCTTCTTGTTTTGGAGAGCCACCAGCTGCTTCTCAAGCTGCAGGATCACTTGCTTGGTGTTGGTGGCATAGTCCGCCGGAAGGCTGAAGGATCGCTTTCCTGGCCTGATCTCCCCCGGGATCGGGAAAAAGATGCAGGGTGGCTGTTCGTTGATGGGAAGAGAAATCTCACAGGTAGGGATCTCTTCACTATCACCGGGATGGAAGCCACCATTACCGGGCCCGATGATGATTTGCCGCTTTGCTTTTCCCGGGATGATTTGTCCAGGGATAGGGTAAAAGAAGCATGGTGGTTGCTGGCTGATGGGAAGGGATATTTCACACCGGGGAATATTGGGGCCAGTACCCGGATAAAAGTCGCTCCAGCCAGGTCCGGCAATCTGTCGTTTCTCCTTGCCGGGTCTGATGGTGCCCGGGATGGGGAAGAAGATGCAGGGGGGTTGCTGAGAGGATGGGGATGTTGATGGAGCAGGTTGGAATGGTGCCACCAGGATGGAAGTCGCTCCAGCCACCTCCTATGAGAGTCTGGCGCTCTTCCACCTTCTTGGAAGCTGGCAGGGCGTGGACGACACCAAGGCCGAGCAATGACAGAGTGATGATCCGACCATGATGGCGGAGAAGTGGGAGGACTGCCGGTGCTAGTTGTTGTTGGTGGCCGTCAGATCTGGGCAAAGTCCATGTCCGTACAGAGCAACTCCTGAGCACGATTGAGGCACGGGTCTTGGTCTTGTTGATATAGACGCGGCGTCGCAGGGTGCTCGTCGCTCAACGTATGCCAAGGACCAGCGTGGCCATCATTAACGTCCCCCGAAGCCCCAAAAATATTAATAGCATATCGATAGCGACATTTTGGACCATATTCGTTCCATATCGTGGCCGAGAAAGCATGAGACGTGGGTCATGTTGCGATATGGCGATATGGTGATGGAAGTTTGGTGGCGACAATATCGGGGCAATATGGAATAGATGAAATCCCAAGTGTTGCAGGCCCGGTGGTGATATAAACCGCTTTATTTACCCGGCTGGCCGGCATCGTCACCCAAGGGCCCAAGGTTCCAAGCTTTGCTGATCCGTGGCCCAGGTTCGAAGCTGGCCATGCAGACCCTTAGACTGACAATGTGAAGTCGACGTTAGCTTGGAGTTTTGGGTCGAGCGGCGACTTAAGGCCGTGGCCAACCGTATTGTGGTCTGGTCGGGGTTCAGGCCAAGGGATGGATAAGGGCAAAGGGGCGGGCTATTTTTGGACTGAAGTGGTGTTTTCACGCGCCTTGACCCAACTTGGCGCGGACGACGTGCTGCTTTCCATCCATGGTTCATGTAGGTATAAAACACGGTAGATATTGCAGCGTACCCTCCCGGCGACCCGTAAGACTTGTCCCCAGGAGTTGGGAGATGGAAGCCGCGTAGCATTTGGAACATTTTCGCTCTGTAAGAGATTGATGATGCCGTAGTGATGAGAGTCGGCGACCTGCGTGTCTGTCTTTCACCGACAGCCCTCAGCCGTCTCTCATCAAACAGACACTCGTCTTCGACACTTGATCAGTATTTTGGCTCTTCTTCTGCCTGATGTCAATTGGGTGTTCGTGAGCGTATGATGTCTTTTAACCGGACTTGAAGGTGCCATTGAACTTTTCATAGACACTTGTCCTTGTCGAGCATGACCAAGAACCTCATAGGGGATGAACAAACGAGGACCAACCAAGCCAATGTGATAACGAAGGCGAATAGTGAAGAAGGGCCGAGACTGATGATTGCACAAATTTGTTTCCAAGAATAGAGATAAAGTTGCTCCGTATGTGTTGGTGTATCAAGGTTATCCAGGTAAACAGAGAGTCTGGATGGGTTAATAAAGTTGCCTGCATGGTAACCAGAGTCGTTGGGTTTCCATTTCCCCTCCGGTGTTATCTGAGACTGGGACTGTTGACTTTTCCGGGGAAGCTGCTCGTACGGCACAGCACGAGGGAATCTGCCAGGAACACGATCGTGGGTAGGTTTAGGTTCTCACCTCGTGTATCCGTGAGTCTTGCTAGCTATGCTGTCTGTGTTGCTCCCATCGGCACTTGGGCTGACTGCCAAAGTTTGGGCCGAGAGGCACAGAAATAGGAACAGACCATTTGACGACCCATTCCTCTCCTGTCATTCATTGGGATAAGGGGCAAAAAATAATAATTTTGTGGTCGGCATCGTTAGTGAATGGATTTATGCACTTGCATCGACAATAAAGAATTCGAAGCCAATCGCACTCTGGGTCCCATCATTTTGAGGAGTAATTTGGCAGGTGGTAGCCAGATAGGGAACGGCGACGGAGTGTTGTCCGCTTGGGCGATTTTTGTCTGCCCGGAGGGGCCATGAAGCGAAGGGTGACGGGAGGGAATCAGCGGAGAGAAATCGGGTTGGCGAGATGAAGAAAGAGGGCCAAGTTCTTGAAAGGTTAAAAGGGAAATGACATGCATGCAATGGAGGGGATTCCAGTGAGAAAATCGCTTCCGATCTGAGTCGATCCTTCCTCAACAGTGAAGTCGTTCAGTGTTCCTTCCTCCGCACCACAGCGTCCAAACACCACGCCGCTGCCAGGACACTGCCAGACGGCCACCAGGCGGCAATCAGCTGTCAGCCCTTGAGAGCCCATGCCTCGGCCAAGACTCTTTCGTTCTGACTTGTGAAAGGATGTGCGCTCGACACAGCAAGTTTCCACCCCAACAAAAAGCGACCAACATGAAATGGGAGCATCAAAAGTGTTACGATAGACACAACCGACGCTATGTATTCCCAACAAGGACTACTTTTTTCCCCGAAGCAAGTGATTCCATACAGCGCAAGGGCTGCCAACCAGATGATTTGAGTATGGTCTTATTACAGTTTATTCTGTAACGCTACCACTTCAAAAGGTCGTACAAGTCGCCAAGTATACCTCTTTTCTTGTAGCGATCACTGCATGCTTTCACTGGAATAGGTAACACCGCGGTTCGGCGGGCCTGTGGGGACACTGGCCTGAAGCTTTCCCGTTGCCTCCGTCCGGATCCGTGATGGTGGAAACAGTTGAGCATCATGGAAACATGACAGCCCACCAAGGCCAGCTCAACAGAAAGTTGGAACCTGCCTTTTGACATGTGCGTTAAACATTGTCTACAAGTATAGCTCTGCTAGCAAATTGATTCTGATCTCGCTGCATCCTGATACTTTACAACCACTGCTTTGACTCGAAAACCAATAACAAACCAACAACTACAAACACCATCCAAGCGAAACCGCAATAAAAAAAGATGACAGCCGGAGACTCGGGATCCGACCCCCGGCAGCCCGACGCCTCGCTCCGGGAACGCCGCCGCCCCTCAACCGCATCGACCGGTTCCGCCGAGGTATTTGCTTCCGCCGCCGACTCCCTGTTGGAAACCGCCAAGGATGTTGAACAACGGGTCGAGGACGCCCTGCTGATGCTATGGGATGAACTCCCCCATTGGCGCCGCGACAACCACTTCATCCACACAGGCTACCGCAGCACTTCCAACAGCTATCAGAAATCCTTCTGGTCCATCTTCTACCTGCACAATGAGTTTGTCAACGTCTGGACTCATCTCCTGGGCGCCATCCTGTTCACCTTTGGCGGCTTCTTTCTGTACAACGTCATTGCCCCGAGATATGAGCCCGCCTCCGAGTCGGACGTGCTCGTCTTTGCCTGCTTCTTCTTGGGCGCTTTCTGCTGCCTGGGAATGAGCGCGACTTACCACACCCTGAGCAACCACAGTCCCGCGGTGGCCAAGTGGGGAAACAAGCTGGATTACACCGGAATCGTCTTTCTCATTGTCGGAAGCTATGTGCCAACCATGTACTATGGCTTCTTTTGTTATCCTAATTTGCTGACCTTTTACCTGGGCACGGTAAGTCTTGATGATTACTGCAAGATGCTTGTCAAGCCGATATAACTAACAATGCGCAGATCTGTCTCCTGGGTCTTGGATGCATCACCGTCTCTTGGTTTGAGCATTTCCGCACTCCCGCCTGGCGCCCTTACCGCGCCATGATGTTCGTCGGTCTCGGCGCATCCGGAGTCGTTCCCATCCTTCATGCCTTGACCTTCAACTCTTTCGCCCAGTTGGATGACCGCATGGGCCTCAGATGGGTCATGCTTCAGGGAGCCATGTACATCTTCGGTGCCTTCCTCTATGCTGTAAGTCTTCCCACTTCTATGGCTCTTCATTGTCATTGCCGGTTTCTAACTAGAGTGAACACTAGGTCCGGTTCCCAGAATGCCGGTATCCCGGCCGTTTTGACATTTGGGGCAGTTCCCATCAGATCTTCCATGTCTTTGTGGTTCTGGCCGCAGCCACCCACTTGTATGGCATAGCCAAGGCTTTCGACTACCATCATGCAGTCATGGGAGGCACTTGCTGAGACTCAGCGCGAGCATCGCATGTCAAAACACACTAGAGAACATAGAGTGTGGAAAGATAGATCGATAGATAGATGTGATAGACTTAATCATCCTTCCAAAACTGACACCGCCTAGGGCAAGTGATGTGGTTCGACGATTGTAATAAGCAGCAAGCTTTATTATTGGTATACAATTCGCGCTGTCGTGATTCGCAGTTAACTTGCGAGCTTGACGTGTACTCCCCAGTCCAAGTGCATACCCTATTTTGATCATACGAATACCTAGCCTTCTCGTTTTTGTTGCCCAGGCATTACTCGCTCCGAGGCTAGCATAAGTTAACAGATCCTTAGTTTACTGCACTCCAAGATCCATGACCTTGATGATACCTGAAGCCATTGCACACGCCGCCCAGCAGCTGAATTGCATGTTCGGATCCCATACAATCGTCGTCAACCTGGTTAATGGCTCATGCGTGACCACGCGCGATGCAAGCTTGTCGTCGAGCTCGGCCTCCCGATTGATATCCTCCATAGTGTTGCTTCCGTTCTTCCTGGGTCGGCCCTTCTTCTTTCCAGACGCCGTCTTCATTCTTTCTAGCTTCTTCTTCCTGTCGAGCTCCTTGCGCTTCTCCGTCCTGGGATCGTCATTTGGCTCCGGCAGGAAGCCTTGCAAGATCCGGACCGCGCCTCTCACGGGACGTCCGTTATCGGTTCCTTGAAGCTCGGGACGTCTGATAGGCCTGTACTCGTGCTCCATGACTTTAATTTTCTGCAAAGGCTCCCCTTTCTGCTTGAAGAGCTTCTGCAGAGCGTTGCAAGAGAACAACGAGCCGTCTGCACAGCCGGCCAACACGAAGGGGTGTGTTGTTCCAGCAGAAATGCACGTAATGGTGTTTGGTCCCGTGCAGATACTACGCGCCTGACAGAAGAAGCGGTGGTGAAGGAACGCAATGGTCGTGTTAGGCGTGGAGGATGGGTAGAGAGCCATGAACCCCTGCATGGACTCGTTCCAGCAAAGCATGTTAGGCTGAAAGCTGATGGCGGGCACAGGGAAGTAGGTGAGCTCTGAACTTGGTTGGGACAAGTCGGTCAAGGTTGCACATCCGCCGACTGGAATCGAGGCGACCAAATAGGGATTCGACGGGTAAGCCGAACAGATGTCGATCACATACGTGGTGTGTACTCCGACCCTTTGCAGCATTTTTCGAGGGAAGATAGACCACAGTGTGACAGAACCGTCCGAGTGACCGAGGGCGATGCGGTTGATATTTACCCAGCTTAGACAGGTCACCTTGTTGTTGTAATCATCGTCGATGCCAAGGGTGACAACAGGAGATTGTACCCACTCTGAATCAATGTTATTTCAGTCAGCAAGTCCTGGGAAGTAAGACGTGGAAGAAGGACCTGAATGCGTCCAGCTTACCGTAAATGGGGGCGCTCCCTTCTTCGACCATCTTAACATCAACAACTCGCGCCTTTCCATCTCCTGTTAGTATAGCTAGTAAGCCATAACTGCCGACTGACTCGTAAGGCACGGGGCACCACTGCAGTCTCTTTGGCCGGCCCCAGTCAAAGCACAATGTCCTGGTCAGCCGCGCTGGGGTGGCGGAAGGTCGAGCCAACGTTTTGCCTGCCTCTTCTTTGGGGGTGAACTCCCAAAGTTGGACGCAGCCTTCTGTCATGGCATCAGGAGCCTCGTGCTTATCTGCACCGTCTTCTTGTCGCCGGGGTTCTTGGTCCGTGAAGGGTATGCTTGCTACGGCGAGAACTTGCTTTGTGTTGACGAGTGATGGAACCCAGCCCATGGCAAGCGGAATACTTCCAATGTCAAGCATCCAGCCGGTCGAGTCCTCGTTGTCTTGATCTTCGGATGTGCCCGTTGGAAGACCAGAAGCCGTTATCGGTAAACTTTGGCCTTGCGTAAACCGAAACTCTCCCTGACGATCCCAGGGCCCAATGAAGGTGACAAGGTCGCCTCCAGACTGAGGAATAAGATGCTCGCCATCGTGGCTCGAAAGCAAATGGGACTGTTGTACGTCAGGACTCTTGGCGTAGTAGTTCCTGTACCATCGAGCAGCGTTTTGTTCCTGTGTGCGCTCGAAGGCGGGCGGGAGCCATGGACTGGGACAGATACCCTGGGGCTCATGAGGCATGTACCTGGGTGGCAGAGCGGGAAATTCGGCCCATCGCATCTCTAAATCCCATATTATCTTGATTCGATTGTACTCTGGGCCGTACATGGAGTCCCGCAGCGCGCTATACCGCGCATACCGTCTCAAGGGACCTGCGTAGACACGGGTTACAATGCGTGTCTCGAGAGGATAATGAGGAATGTCATGGAAGCCTTTGCGGCTCTGAATCATGCCAGCGCCCGTATTACGGTGTTTCTTTGGCTGGGAGGACGGATCGTTCTTTTTGCCGCCAGCGTCGCCATCAGCCTCATCGTCCTCGTCCTCGGCCTCGTCTTCTTCACTGGTGGGTTCGGCCATGTCGGCTTCTTCATCGTTATCCTCCTCTTCCTCCTGGGCTGGCTCCGGGGCAGCGAACTCATCATCGTCAGAGTCCCTAGATGCGATGGGGATGGGTTCGTCCTCGTCATCGAAAACAATGGGAGCCTCGACATAACTCTTTTTATGCCTCGTGTGGTTCGGCGAGCCATGTTGGTGAGCAAAGACCCTCGCTTGGCCTTCGGCGTGTCCCCTTTCCGGCTCCGTCTCTGTTCGCACCCTTTGGGTATTCGGTTTGTCGTCGATATGCTCCAGTGCAGTTGCAAGGCACAGACAGACAAGTCAGGAAAACAAAACTTGAACGATGCCGGTCAAGGTCAGCTCGTCTGGATACAGCTCATGACTAACGATGCTTGTATCGATGTCAAGCCAAGTGATGCTTCTTGTTCTCGTATAGGGTTTCTGAAGTCGAGATGTTTGAATTTCCACAATTTCCGTCTTTTATAATTAAGGTTGATACAAAGGTGAAGATACAATGAAGGAAGCTCTCCAATGCCACCGTCGAAGCAGCCACAAGCTACCAATGGGTGGGGCAAGCCAGTGAATTTTTAGTGGGGTTACCGCCTGCAACGGTGTGGATTCTGGATTCACTCGGTTCCTGATCGCCAAACATCAACCCCGCAATTGACGTCGCTGGTCCAGCCAGCAGGTGGACGGATCCGGGTTAGGGCTCTGTATGGCATCCATTTTCAGAATACCAAAATCTGACCTCAATCCTTTCATCTCCCCTTTCCCTAGTTTCTCATTCCGAAAACTGCATCACCACTTTGTGTATCGCATGGGCACATAACTCACACCACACTCATTGGACGTACAACACAAACATAGCTCTTGCATAGTTAATTTCCTCTCTACCCGAAGATGTGATTGGCATATATCGTCAGAAAGGCTGTTCACGACGCCCTGTACTCCCACCACCAACTGGCTAATATCCCGAGACGAAGATCCACTTGTGTTACGGTTATGCCTCTTACTCCGGTATGACTCTGAGTTTCCAAGGGGATTCGACTGATCTTATACCCCGTGTGTCTTCTCCGAACTGAGGGTCCTGTGAGATGATCACCCAGTCCATCTTCAGCACCAGTGATCCGACTGATGCAACAATGCCCACAACAGCAATGACAGGCACAGAAGCCGCTGCGATCGTGGAGAGTTCTATCCGCAAGTTCATTCAAGGATGTCATATTCTTCACTACCATGGCGTGGTCGATGCATACGGGCACCTCTCTTTCAGACATCCACTCCGGCCACAGATATTTATTATGGCCAAGAACATGCCCCCGGCCGCCGTCTCCTCGCAAGACGATCTGATTCAATACTGGGTCGAAAACGCTGAGCCTGTTGAAGAGGGTGCTCCGAAAGGCTATGTCGAGCGCCGCATTCATTCCGAGATCTACAAGCGACATAACGATGTCACTGCCGTTGTCCATGCCCATGCGGAAGCTGTCATCCCGTTCACTATTTCCGGCGTCCCTCTTCGTCCCTGTTACCACATGGCTGGCTTCCTCGGCACTGATGGGCCGCCTGTCTGGGACATTGCCGACCACTTTCTCCGCAGCGATATCCCTGATATGCTTGTCCGTCATGAGCATCTAGGGAGAAGTCTTGCCAAGTCATTCGATGATGGAAACGTTGTGACTTTGATGCGTGGCCATGGGTTCACTACTGTATCCTCATCCATCGAGGATGCCGTGTTTAGGGCCGTCTACACTATGAAGAATGCGGCCATACAGTCAGCTACCTTGTCACTGAGTGCAGCATCGGCCGCAACGAATAACTTCTCGCCGTCACCAGCCATTCGGTACCTCAATCGATCAGAAGCTTGGAACGCAGGAGAAACGTTATCTGGTACAATCAGTCGACCGTGGGAGCTTTGGGTCAGGGAGGTTGGAGCATCAGGCTTGTATTCAAGCATTGCCTAATTGCTTCCAAGTTGTGGACATCATAATGAAGGAAAGAGTTGACTGGGGTGGGTAAAGTCCGATCAAAGGGGCACATTATTCCCGCTTCCCCCTCATCCAAAGACACACCATGAGCATCATTATTGTCTCTCCTTGAATCTCAACCTAGTCATATCTCAATCCTTCTCTCCTTCTCCTGTGTTCAGTGTACCTTTCCTTGTTCCACCTTTCCCATCCCTTAACCATAACTCGTTTGCCATCTCTGCCAAGGCGTTCTGTCTCAAACGAAAACCCATCAGTCTTCATCCTCTCAAAGACACATGGTCTCAGCACACCTCAGACACGCTCATGGCAGACGTACGTACCTTTTCAAAGACGGATCAAACCAAGTTGGAACTCAAGAAGTGCAGCAGCACCTCTTCTGGTTCAACAGGTTGCACTTCTCCATGCGGTCGACCCCGACGTTCTGGCCCCACTTGCGACAGTACTGCTCACACTTGGCCGCGTAGAACCAGCTGCAGTCACTCGAGTGGTAGCACGCCTTGCGCTCGACGAGCTTGGGGAACGAGCCCGGGTTCTCGGAGACACCGGCCGGGGAGGCCAGGATGCCGGAGGCGACGGTGGCGAGGACGAGGAAGAAGGTGGTCTTCATTTTCGGGATCAAGAGGGGGGGTACGACTCGAAATCTGAAGAGAGGCTGAAGCTGAAGAGAGGCCAAAGCTAAAGAGGGACTTGAGTGTCTGAAGTCAGGACTCTGGTTGTGTGTTTTTTGATGATGAGAAGACGATGATGGTGTGATTTCAAGTCGAGATGGCGATGGGGTCTTGGGGGTTTATATAGACTTGAAAGTCTATGGATCAACTCCTCGGAACGTATGCCGCCGAGTTTCTTTCTACCGCTTCGCGTGTTACTGCTGCAAAAATAGCAGCTTCCTTTGGCATCAAGAGGGTCAGAACCGAGCCAGTTCAGAGTTGATCATAGTTCAGGTTCCAGCCTTACCTTTGATCCAGGCATTTTGACCAACTGGAGCCAGTTATCTGGGGACTGGTATGTCTCCTTGTCGAATGTGGAGACCCTTAATATTCAGCGGAGGTGGTCGTTGACCAACAATAATACCATGTCAACCCCCAACTCAGTCCAGCCCCACGCCTCAATGAGACACATGTTACCCAAGATCAACGTCTTATGTACCCCATATTGTGGCTTAGGGGTAAGTGGCCAATCGATGTCGGCTCGGTGTATAAACAAGTATTGTAAGTGACAATCACAGTCCTCAAAATTTATAAGTAGACATAGCTGAACCTCAGGGCCAGGGGAAATGCTGCATTAACGGGAAGCTTGCCGAGAGCGCCAAGATGCTGGCTGACCATAAGACGGGCTAACTCACCTCCGAACTGACACCACTCGACATCGACGTTCACACCATCGCGGACTGATGGATTGGGACTCGAATCTGATATAGGGGCTTCATTGAGGCTGCTTCAGAAGGTGTATGGCATATCAAGAGTCCTGACAGCTGAAAAATGTGCGTAGCTACAAACATCGGCCAGACGCAGTTGTTGAGCCACTGCTTCAACTTCAGGCTTCTACCTATAGTTGCTCGTATTTCTATGATCCGCCTCGCGTTGGTCAAGCCAGCCACCTCATGGGTATACAGATTGACATCTTGTGCAGCCCTACGAAACACACCACTACGCCGCCCTGTGTTACCATGTCGAGCTACAATACACATCGGAAAACCGTGTGTCTTGACAATATCAGGTAATACCTTGAGTGAAGCAAGATACAAGGATGTCTACATTAGATAGTATCTGACTCGACCATAGATTTCAACTCCAGTACATATGCATCCATACAACTACTGCGCTCGCAGCCGCATCCCGCGACAACAACTCAGACCTTTCCCAAAAAGCCTTCCGGAGTTGCCAACTTGGTGGCAACCGCAACAAAACCTCCCAACAAACAAACGGCACCACTGAACATGGAAACTTCGAAGAAGCCTCCGAATTTGCTGATGAAAGCACCGTTGATGGGCGGGCCGATCAAGCCTCCAAGCGCGCTAATGGCCAAGCCCATTCCCATATAAGTTCCTATGTCTTGCTGGCTCTTGGGGCACACGGAAAAGGCGGCCGATGCGCCGGAGATGATGGTGCCAGATCCGAAACCGAACGCGACCGAATAGACAATGAGCGCCGCGTTGCTCACAGCCGAGTTCATGCAGAAGATAATGACCCCCGTGGAAATGGCTCCGAGGGCATAAAGGTTGAGCCTTCCGTACTTGTCGGCCAAGATACCGGGTATGATACGGCCAAAGGTCGAGGCGGCATTAAGGATAGCGAGCAGATATCCGGCCAATGTAGCATTCATGCCTCGAGCGACGGCATATGTGGGTATGAAGAAGAGCGGGGTGAACATGCCCGTGAAGACAAAGAACAGAGATGCGATCAGCAGAAGATACTTGGCGTCTTTGTAAGCGGCCGGGATCCAGAAGTTGGTGGCTCTCGAGGGCAGACGGGCCTTGACGACGATGCAAGAGAAGAGCATGAAGGGCATCATGAGGAAGCCCGTGATGCGGACGGACCATTGGAACCCGAGATTGGAGCTGTTGAGCATGCGGGACAAAGCAATGGGGATGACGATACCGCCAACAGACGATCCGGAAACCACCACGCCTAGTGCGGCCGCTCGTTTTTTGTCAAAGTGCTGGGATACTGCTGCGATTGCGGGAATCTGCAGGCAGCCCATGGCGATGCCCATCAGCACTCCCTGGACGAGCATGACTTGCCAGTACGTGTCGCAAAGACTCAGCAGCATGACGCACAACAGGTGAAGGATGGCGGCGGGGCGGATAACCTAATGATAGGCATTTGTTCTCGTCAGAAACTATGCAAGAACAGAGACCAAGTTTGTTAGGATGGGGTACTTACGGCAGCACCGAATCGGTCGAAAAGCGGTCCTCCCAACATGCCCGAGGCAAATTGCATGTAGACGGACAAAGAGCCAATCCAGGCAATGGCGTCGGGTGAACGCTGCTTGAGCTGATGGGTGAGGTAGTACTGCTCAAAGGTTCCGAACGAGTTGGCGAATCCCAGACAGCAAAAGAAAATGGCAGAGCCGCCAGCTGCGACAAGCCAGGCCTTGACGCCACCATCGGGTGCGTCCTCGAACTCGAACGGTTCCTCCTGGATATCAAGGGTCTGGCTCGGGCTCCGGCTCTTGGATTTGCCTTCCTTCTTCTGTTGTTCGACGTCGGGGTTTTTTGCGACCGTGTGGTACGCCTCATCAGGGTCGCGCTGCTGCTCAACGACCGGGTTCTCGACGCGAGGAGTTGCGACCAAATCTGTCGAGTCCGCCATGGTTCAGGTTGCTTCGCTGTTGATCAGGATAGAAGGGGTGGTGATGTTTGGGTTGAGATGACGAGCGGCAAAGTCAACATGAGGACAGGGCAGTGGTCCAGATCAAGTCGCAGAGAGCTGAGCGGGCTTCCAAGGCGGCGAGGTGGGCAGCGCTGACGGGGCAACGCTTCTAATGGCCATTTTGGATTTTTCGTCCCTCCTTTTTCATCCCGTGACGGGTAGGTTGAGCACATTATCTTGGGCTGCCGTGTAAGGTTTGAGATTGCTGCTGTCTCGGCATGGTCGGGCTCGGGTACCAGGCGGTAACTCGGGGATGACGGGTTGCAAAAGGATGGAATACCCGTCCATCCACCACCGTTGTCTCGTCCACTTCAACGCGGCTCTTTCCCCTCCAGATGTATCGTCTCCGACCCATGTTTCAGCAATGAGCGCAACACTGCAGCCTAGCCACTAGACCAGACAGATGACGTACAAGATCCCGTTTCTTATTTGGAGGCAGTCGTCCCTCTGGATCATCCACTGCATGCATGCTATGAGTGTTGGCATTCATTCATACAATGCTCCGCGTTCCCAAGAGATTTCGACTGCTTTAAAGCTCCATCTGGCTCACTCCCCCCGCTCTCATCGACACTGCGGTGCCGCAAAGAAGCCAACAACTTGGGCGGTCTTTTGTCTGGCCAATGCTCCGGTGCTCTCTCCTGTCACTTACACGGGATGTGACAGGCGTGTTCAAAGTGACAACGGCCTGTCTTAAATGGACGACAACGGCAGACTGATGCGGTCTTATGGTGGCCACGATGGCGACGGGGAGGGAACAATATTTGAACAGAGAACGGAATCCTGCATCGAGGACAACAAGTGTTCCAATCACCTGGCAGTGTGCACCGTCCCATCGGACCAAAAAGTGCCTGAAGCTGAAAATTGACTGGCGGCGAGGGAGGTCCGTGAGGCAAACAAACAAGGACCGCCAAGGTGGAAACTTTGAGGGTTTGGACGACATGGAACCTGAGACGGCAATCTGCATGGTCACCGGCCTTCATCAAACTTCCAGGAAAGCACCCAGGGAAGGAGCCCCCTTTAGTTCAGTCTGGCCGCCTTTTGTACCAGGCCTCGCCTATCCAGTGTGTTCGTCTGTCCACTGCACCTTCCTCGCCCCTCTCACTTCCTTCCTCTCCGGCACGCTCCTTCCGTTTTCGACTGCAATACTTGCTGGATGGAGTACGGTCGGGTGATATTGGAACACGACAGAATTGCGCCTGCCATCTGCTACAATTGACGATTGCCTCGACTATCGCCACTTTCTTCGACCTCGCCCCGGATCTCAGACTTGGCTTCGCTTTCAGCTGTTGCCCCTGCTCTCTCTCACGGCAGTCTCCCACTGCTACCTTTTCCCGGCCCTACTCGCCTCTGCGTCAGAGAAAACCTAAGGTACTGCCTGGACTATCGCGATGGCCGGCCTACCAAGTCATCTCCTTCCTCGCGACCTCGGCGGTCCCATCGACGGCTTTGACCCGAACATCAGCAACGGCACATGCTACAGGAAGACCGGGACGGGCGTCAAAGAGCTTCCTGACCATTATATTCCCTGCGGCAATAGCGCCATTGGCCACGTTGGATGCTGTCAGGCTGGTGATAAGTGTCTAGAATTCGGGGCATGTTACAATACTACGTTTGGAACAACTTATATTAGTGGATGCACTGATGAGGAATACCAAGATGCCAGCTGCCCCCAAAAGGCGTTTGAAGCCGCCGTCTGGTTAGGCCTCATCTACTGTGACTCCGAACACGAATGGAAGCCCTGTATCCAGAATAACGACTATCCAGGTAGGAGCAAGAGTTGAGTGCAGATACACGAGAGTACTTGTATTGATTCGGTATAATAGAATACATCACGAAAAAGCCAGCCGATTGTGATAAGGCCAAAGTCTGTACCAACGCCGACGTCGCTGCTGTCTTTCCCACCTTCACTGCCAACCGGATCCCCGACATCGGCTGGCTCAATTACGACCAGGACGAGAGAAGCCTCAGCTGGCTCGTATCCGACCCATCGGCGGTATATCACGAAGCCAGCACCACCAAGATCCAGACAATCATTTCCTCTCCCGATTCAACATACTCCAAGACGACCCTCACAACCGGCACGGCTTTTTCCACGTCTACCCCATCCGCTGTCCCACCTGGACCGACAGCAACTTCCTCGACTGATGACTCCTCGAATCTCAGCACCGGCGCCATTGTGGGCATAGGAGTCGGTGTAGGCGCTCTGGCTATTTTGATACTGGTTGGCCTTGCCATTTTCTTCATAGTTCGCCGACGGAGAGCAGAGCATGAGCCCAACCCGTCTGGTACCGACGAATCTTCGAACACAGCCGATGATGCGCCAGGAAAGGAGTCCAAGTCACCAATCTCACCAGGTGGAAACTCGCAAGGTCTTCATGCGTCCCCAATGATTAGTGAACTCGACTCTCAGGCCGACCGTCCCTGGTCTCTGCGTTCAGAATTACACGGAAACACGGTGTCGCCCTCAGCCTTTTCTCCAGCAACCACAAGTCATGCCTCGTTCCAACCATCCCCAATGATGTCTGAAGCCTCGGAAGGTCAGGGCTATGCAATGGGACATGCGTACAAACCGTACGGTGGGGATCACCTTCGTCACATCAACGAGTTGCCTGCTTAGCCCTTCAACTGCCCAGCGGCGTGCGGGAGTGGCTTACCTAGGGGTCATGTTATGTTAACAGGAAGGCTCGAAGTAAGGTGGATTGAGACCTACATAGTGGTGCAAAACAAGCGGTTTTCAGTGATACGCTGGCTTCAAGGTTAGCAAATCAATCTCCTGGGTTTTTTTTTTTCTCTTTTTTTTGGGGGTTGTATTTGAGTGGTATTAGAACACACCCTTAGCCGAAGACAAGTCAGAGTTTCGAAACAGACCGTTGAGCTTCATTGGTTTTCCTTAGCATGCCCTTTTCCACATCGCTAAGTGACGTAAGAGCGAGCTAACATCACGTAAAACCTAGAAAGCGCAATCGAATATCAAAACTCGCTCCTGTTTTGTTGATCACGGATTCGACATTATAGGATGCCGAACTAGTCCACAACAGTAGAAGCGCTGGAAACAAAGCGATGACTGTCCATGCATCATTATCCCGCTATGCCTTCGGCCCCTCCGCCAAGACCAAACTTTCCCCCAAGCCCAACTTCAGCACGATTCAAGGACACCAGACGAATTTACGACAGGAATCATAGCATTAGATCAGCTGGTTTTGTGATCATTTGATGGGTTTCATTCAAAATTGGGAAGATGTAGGGAGGTCCCTAACGAATTTGATGTCACTTCGAGCTCTCTCCTTCCTCAGAGCATGTAGGATGATGAATGATATTTGGGGGTCATTTGTCCCACGTAAACCGTTACTGAAAGCAAGAAGCCACGTTCCTTCAACTGTTTCTCATCTACAACCGATTACCAAGCATCAGATTTGCGGGCTATCTCGACTCTCGATAAGTTTATCTTGCCTCATCTCGCGTGCTGTCTATCGTCAAAGGCCATGACGTGCGCCTCTTGACCACTAGACGCGATTGCGTGATCCTCTCCGCGTCTCACATCACCACCTTTACACCAATGCCCAATGATACGCACGCTACACCACGCGACATCTGCTCCTGGGAAGCTCTGATTGACGACGCATGCCATGCCGATTCGGTATGAAGGTTGAACGGCCTACAAATGCACTTCCTCATCGGGCTGGCTTTTACTATGTAGGGTCTAGACAATACCATCATGGCGCG